ATGATGTACAAAACAAAGATAAAAAAAAATGATAATTCATAGTTTATATTTTGTTGCAATACATATTTCAAATCAAAACCTCGCAAGAATGCATCTTCTCATAGCAATCACAACATAAATAATGAAAAGTAATATTATGCAGGTCATCATGAAATATGATGATTGATGTCTATATTTATTAGAAAATGAGTACAAGTATAATGTTCTTCAATTTTCAAGTACTTGTCACGATTAAAGAGATAAAAGAGAGGAAGTCAAGATAAATGAAATAATATTCGATAAATTACTTTACCAAATCGTAAACTTTATATTCTATTAAAATGTGCAAAGAGCTTCAAATCCTATGTGGAATTATAAACACAGTTTGTTATATTTAGGCTCAATTATCAAAAGCCATCAAAAACTTGCAACAAATAAGATTGACAAGAGTAACTAATGTTGCATACTCCTCAAAGCTCACCAATTGTGTTGGTACAACTATTCACTTTACAACTATAATTGCTCATCAGAAATAATTCAAATCTTAGAAACTCCAATTCACATCTAGTTATCTCTTCCTTAAAGTCATTTGCATAGTGACTCCAACCTGCACCTAGTCACTTCCTCCTTGCCATCATTTACATGATTATAAAACAACATAAGATCTTTCAAGAAACCAAGCAACTCATATTGATCTCCTCCTTTTAGCAAAACCAATGCTCTACTTTTATTGTGCAATTGGGATTCAAATCCTTGTTGGTAGAACTTAATAGCTACCTAAAATTACTAAGAATTTATTTCATATTTTATCCATTTAAATTTATGATATTATTGTATTTTATTTTTTATTTTATTTTTTATAAATTAATTGACAAGTTTTTTTTTAAAGAAATTTTAAAAAAACATTTATACTTCAAGATGCCACCTTCTGTGGAAGTTGGTGTTGTTTTTACTTCTAGTGAAAAATTGAAGAAAGCAATACCTCATGATGTAATTAGCAAGCATTATGAAACAACCATTATCAAATCAGACCAATTAAGATATATTATGAAGCGTCACAATAATAATTACAAATAGAGGTTGCATGCATTACAAATGAAATCCGTAGTTATAAGTGTTTTTATCATTTGAAAATTTCTCTCTAAATACATGTATATTGGTGTTGAATATTTGAGTAACTGCCATATTAGTCTAAATTGAATAGCAAACAACATCAAAAATAAGTAAGAAGATACATTAGAATACAATTTTGTAGATATTTAAAAAGATATTTGATGTAATCATGGGATCACAATATCATATTTAATAGCATGGTGTAGAAGGAAAAATATTATTTTTCAAATAAATAGCTCCTATGAAGATAGCTACACCAATCTCAGAGTATATTGTTATCAAATGAGGACAAAAAATCTAAAAAATTATGCAAAATTAGAAGTTACTAAAGAAAATCACATTTTGCAATTGTTTGTTGCATACAATGCAAGTTTATATGGCTTACAACATTGTCAACTTATCATTGGTATTGACGGTGTCAGGGTAGAGAGAATTTGCCTCAAAAAAATGTTGGGCTTCTAGCTATCACTAATTTTTCAATCAAGCTTCAAAATAAAGGAAGCCCTAAGTTTATATATAAATTTTTCCTTTTGAGAAATTACACCAAATACACAAGTCTCAAGTAACCAACAACACCCAAAATATGATAAAATCCTCTAAAACCTTGTATATCCTTATGTGAAATTTTTTCCAAACTTCAACACCTCATATCTCCTAATCCGACTGTCCAAACAAACTCAAATTTTACATAAGCTCCTCATATATTCTTATTAACTTCTACAACAAATTTCAACTACAAATTTGTTGCAGATCTTGAGATAACTTGAAAATCCTAACAGTCGCTTCAAACCCTTGTCTTTATATATCCATGTGCAATTTTCTTCATATTTCACAAAATCCGCAAACTTCTAATACGCTTATGTCTTGTCAAGAGAAAGGGGTAATCCACTCTTACTCAAGAAAAAACAAAGCTCTGATATTGTAAGTGTACTCTTGTCAATCTGTCAAGGACAAAGACTCGATGAGGAAAAATATATACCAAAAGGCTATCTCGATATAATAAGTCAAAATATAAACAAGTAGGTATATTAAAAGGAAACTGGAATGGCTATTGCTACAAGACAAGAAACTAAAGACTCTTGAACCTGGACTAGAAGCAAGAAAGGAGTTGACAAGAGTGAAGAAGCCTTCACTCTTGTCTCTATATATACTATCTAACTAGGGGCTACGTGGCGACGTTCTATAGGACCTCCAATATGTGTTGACTTTGTAGGACACATGCCTTGACTTACAAGGCAAGTTTTTCTACGTGTGGGCCACATAGTTAGCTTGATCTTCAAACTAACAACATGTGTGGCACATGGCCAACTTGTTGACCACGTTTCTAATCCAAAAAGTCAATTAAAGACACCTATGAAGTCAAAGCAGCGTCTAGGAAGTTTCTATATTAAATATTATACAATTAACTTACTTTTATCTATTTTTACTTACTTCTACCTATTTCTATATGTAATTATTAGCTTACATGATTATGGCCGTGACAGTCTCTAATCATTACTATAAACAAAACCGCTCACTTACTACCTTTGATTTGGAAGCGCTGCCTTCAATTCCTTATAACTCCTCCACATAAACTCCAAAAGCAATAAGTTTTTTTGTAAAAGATGTAGGCCTTAAAATCGCCGTTCCATTCGAACCTTCCAAACTTCAAAAGCTGCTGTACAACTCCTTGTATCCTCAAAAGAGTAATAGTATGTCTTAAATTAATATCTTAACCTCAAACGGCTAGAATTTCTTCACCCTAACCCCAAATCCTAAACTTTACAATCTTAGCTTCTAATCTCCGAATGCACTCTTTGAAGTCACTAAAACCCTTGTTAAGATTGTAGGCAGCCTCCTCAAAGCCCATTGGGCATGGTATTCGACCAATAGAGATGAAGTTCTCCATTCCTTGCCTTCATCCGACCATGCTTTGCTTTCATCCCTCCCAATTAGTCTCCTACTAGTTTAGATATCATCCTTAGGCTTCCACCTTCTCCCAAGGCTTCATACTAAACATTTAGGTTCTATATATTTTTTTTTAATGTCAAAATCAAAACAAATAAAGAAAAAAAGTAAAGTTTCTTATATCAACTCCTTTTAATTTAATCTACTAATCACTCTAACACACATCTAGATTTATTAACATATAAAATTTTTTACTAATTTTTACATACTATAAGCATTTACAATACGAAAATGGCACTTATTTACAAAAAATATATCATGAAAGATTCTTTATTGCTATAACAATTGATATAGAGGGACAATTATTTCCTATTCTATTTGGTATTGTCAATGTTGAAAATGATGACAATTGATTGTAGTTCTTTCAAAAGCTAAAGGTTATAATTCTTGCATCTTTTCTACTAAATAGCAAACTTTCAAAGTTTATTTTATTCTTTGATTGACAAAAAGGTCTTATTAATGCTATCAACTATGTATTTTTCACATACAAACATGCATTTTGTATGTACCATTTAGCTGATAATTTACAATAATAATTTAAAAATATATTATTTGTATGATATCTTTAGGCAGCAACTTGAGTAGCAATTGTTTTTGATTTTATTATCAAATTATCAAAAATTCAGGATATATTTGAAGAAACTACTGTATACTTGATGAGCAGTGGTCCATAGTATTGAGCATCATCATAATTTCACAAAAACTAATTTGGCTACATGACTTCAAATATTATAGAATCTTTTAATTCTTAAATCTTAGAAGTATGTGAGATGCCATTAATTATAATGTTGGAGGTAATTTGTCCATAATTTATGGCATGGTATAACAAATGACATATTAATGCCAAGTCAAGTACAAGACCATTGTTAACTAGTGCACATCAATAAATTGAACAATCAATGAGATTTGTACATGGCTATTGCATCATTCTTTCATCTAATATTATCTTTAAATGCATGTTGAAGCAATCTTCTAATTTCTTGAATTTATAAAATGGCATATGCACCTCCAACCAATGGTAGATATCTGAAATCTTATGTATACACGCAATTAGTATTGTCCTATTCATGATAGAATCAATTACTCACTACACTGCTTATTTTCATATTATTCAAGCCGAACAAGCAATTTATGCAGTAGCCATCATCTCAATACCATCCATTGAGTATTGGACAAAACCAAGCAATGATAAAAATCAATGTTGGTTTGATCCTACTACCATGTATGTAACGTCTACTTGGTCGCCGAAAGAAGCATTGCATCCATACGAAGGATATGAGAATAACTAAAAGAGTATTTAGATATAATCAATGCACGAGTATTAGGCATAATCACTCAACTTACAAGAAACCAATTTAATCACTTCATTGAAGCACTACTTAATGTAGTATTTAAAGATGTCATATTTGAAAGACAAAGTCATTGTAGGCCTTGCTTGTAACCTTGTAAAACCTAAGATTATAAGAGCATGTATTATAATTTCATCATGTTTTTAATCTTCTTTAATATCTATACAATTACAATTCAAAAAAGCTTAATATCATTACAAATATACTAAACATCTCTCTTCTATTATTATTATTATTATTATTATTATTATTAAGACTATTATTTATTTATTTATTGAAATACCACTTTTTTTTTTCTTAAACACATTTCAAGGATATATATTTTTTGAAAATCTAATATGATATATGATTTTGAATTCATACAATATACAATATATCAATATATAAATTTCAAAATCTTATTTGATACATGAATATAATACTTATGATATAATATCATACATATTTGAACTCATAAATTATATATCAAATTAGTAGAATTGCAATGATTTTTTAGGAAAACAAAAATGAATAAAAGATACAATGGTATCTTAAAAATAATCTTCAATAAACTATACTTTATTAAGTTTATTAAGAGTATAAAATTTTAAAAATATTTATTAATATTAATCATTGAAAAAAATTAATATTTCTTTTTTTTATGAAAATGAAGTTATAAACACTATAAGTTGGATATTTGGACCTAAGATAATAAAGTCTATAGCTTTAAATTATCTTATAATCAATCTATATATATATATATATATATATATATGTATATGCATAAAAAATATTCTTCTTTTACAATCTTAATCCTTCTTGTAGTTGTAAATAAGAGACATAAAATAGTATTTATTTATTGATTGATTTTTTCATTCTAAAAGAAGGTCAAAAGCCACATCATGCTTCAAACTTGTAAAGAGAGATCAACTCCACAGTCACTTATATCAAGACTTTCTCATGATCACACTGTCATGTAAAGCCCATACTTGCTGTTTTGCAAAGGCTGCAAAAAAGATTAAAGAGGAGGTTACATAGTTAAAATTTCTTTTTAAATTTTGAGCTATAAATATATTGTAGGTGAATAAGAAGGTTCTGTCTAGTTAGAATTTTTTGTGGTGGAGTTTCATTGTGGTGGGATTTTACTGTTGATGTGAATTGAATTAAAATTTCAATTCATATATAAAAACATTACAAGACACATAATGATTACTATTTGATAATGTTTAAATATGAATTTGATATATAATTTTTTTATCATTGTTAAATACAACTTAAAAAACAAAACTCTCACGATGCAACCCACCCAATTTGCCACCCACATTCAAATGTGTGTATATAAATAAATAAATACGGCCAGCAGCGGCACCGTCGGCGAAGAAATCGGGAACTTGCCAGAAAACAAACGCAGTGCCGTGCCGAAGTGTGCACGGCACACGCTACAGGATCCATTTTGCACTAAATGTGGAATGAGAACGAGAGGTTATCAGGGTCAGGGGTAGGTTAGATATTATCTGGGGTATGAGGGGCAGTTTTGCGATTATCAAGGATACAGGGGTGTTCTTGATATTTCAGCAATCTGCGGGGGCATTTTTGAAATTTTCCCTTTTTTTAATATACAAAGCAGGTAAATATGTGAAAGAGAGAGAGAAAGAGAAGTTTTTGGTTTGAAGTTCTTCAAAGAGAGAATGGCATGATTCTTGCACCCCATATGACCATCCAAGGGACGTGCTGAAAGTTATTCGTAGCCCAGGCTTGGAATGTTTGCGGTCAAAGGCTGCTGCAGTTGAATTCTAGGCTCCTTTATGGAAGAGTCCACTGCATTCAGATGCAAAATTCGAGAGTTGTAGGCCTCATGCTATTCAAGGCAAGCAACAGAATGGGTGAGAAACACATTCTCCACTGTGAAGAACTTCAAACCAAAAACTCACTAGTGTCATCAGACAGAAGTTGGCACTATGGATAAGTTCAATTCGATTGTGTCACAATGGGATGCTGTGATGTGGACAGACAGGCAGTATTTCGGGTGGTGGAACGATTGGAATTACCCACAACTACCCCAACTGAGCCTGAGTTTCATGACTTTTTCAACAGTCTATCACAAACATGACTCATGAACGCCGAGATTCAAGGTCATGTCTAACCCCCTTAGTTGGAATACTTCGTTCGTGCCCAATTTCTATGATTCAAGTTTTAAAGCCACTGGGACCCTCCCCAGGCCAACTAATTCCCTGCTGAACAAAAGCTCTGTGGTAAGTGAATGAGGAAGACTGCATTCATATGCATGCCCACCCTCACATACTCGGCGTGATGAGTACGCAGTGCCATTAACAGAAGTTGCGGCGTGGCTTGCACCCACCTTCCACTTCCAAGAGGGACGCAGTAATTGCAGGTAAAGCCTCGCGCCTCTGGTTTCGGAATCCTTTTTTAATAGTAAATATGGAGTGATTCAATGTAATCGCCCCTCTTATGGAAGTGCTGGAAGCAAGGCATATCTGATGTGGCAACTAAGATCGTTTCTGCATCGGCAGTTGCTTAATGAAGAAAAGCTTTTCAAAACCCAACTGAGAGGCGCAGCTGGCAGAGAAGTCTGTACATATCAATGTCTGTACACATCCAATTTCGACGTGCCCACAGAGGTTTGTGGCGTCGTGGGGTGGATGTAAATATACCCCGAGCAGATTCGTGAGAGAGTGAAATGAGGTTCGTCAAGGCTTCGCTTTGAGATAATGGGTCTCCGCGTCCCAGCTCTGGCGATGGCCACGCACTCTCACTCACTTCACTCACTCAGCTTCGAAGGAAAGGACGACGTTTGGCGTGGAAAGCACGCGCCCCATGGCACCATGTGAAATTAGGGTTCACGGCCATCCTGCCGCTGGCTTTGTGAACCCAACTTGGTAAATGAGGGAACGCCTCTGCTTTCCAAACGTGTAGAAAAAACTGGGTAGCATGGCATTAATGAAAGGTATGATGGAGCTACAATGGTGAACATATGTGGGCAGTAAACTATGAAAACTGGTTAAAGAATAGATTTTCGTTAGGTGTTAGTGAGAAAATGACTAGTAGTTTTGTCCTCTTCAATGTTTGATTGAAAGTGGATATTTTTATCAAACATGTGTAGAAGCGGCAACCTTGAGAAGAGATGAATTATGGATAAGTGGATTAGAATAGTTTGTAGGTTGGAGAATAGATGGTATTGGAAGAAGTGCATGAAAAATAATTTATTTTAAAGCCTTAGATTTTAATTCCTTCAGATGCGGTGTATTCTATGCAACAATACAGATTGCTTGATAGAAAAATCTTGTTAGAACGAAGGTTCTAAAAATCCTCTCCTTATTCTTTTCTTAGAATGTTTTTTTTCTTTCTAAAATTGTCAATAAGACAAGTATAAAAGATTTTATTGCATTCTACAAATTTTACTATTTGACTAATTTGTATAATTTGTTCTTTCTAATATTTTAGAATACAATTAATTTTTTAAAACATTATTATGTTAGAAGCTCTCAAATCTTGCAATAGTGTCAAAATAAAAATATTTATATAAAGCCTTCAATTAACCCTCTGTATACATTGTCGACCTCTGTTGTAACAAGGGAATAATTGCATTCAACGTGTGATTTTTTCAAACCTAGCTGCATCAAGTCTTAAATCTGACATGGAATGTCTTTAAAAAGTAATAACAGTCTGAAAGGAAAATCTGTTACTCATTGTTTTCTTTTGCCCATGTAGATTAAATACTTGGTGTGAAATTATTCTATTGTTCCTTTTATGTAGATGTGAGTATTTAACTTTTTGTTTATCATTGATAAAATTACTTAGTTTTTCTTAATCCTGTAAGATTATAAAAAAAAAAAAATGAAAAAAAGAAGAATTGTTGTAAATTTTTTTAAGAACAAGAAAATATTATATCTATATCTATATATATATTGATATAAATATTAATTTATAATTATAATTGATGATATCATTAATAAAAAAATCATTGTTTATAAATACATATATATATATATATATATATATATAGCTCAGAGTCGAAATATTTTGTGTCTTATTACTACAATTAATTTCATTAACATTTGAAGTGATTTCGGATAACTAAATTAATTATCCCTTTTTTTTTCTAGAAATATTTTTACATCTAATATGTACTTGGTATTGCTCCTTCTTAATATTATGTGATAGATGTCATGTTTATTTATTGATTGTTAATTGTTTAGTGCACTCATTAATTAATTATATTAAAAATAAGCTTTAATATCCTCACAACTAAAATATGCTCACAAAATTCTTCAAACAATTGTTTTAGAAAATTGAGATAAAATTTAAACAAAACTTTTAGTTCACGTTTGATATATTTTTTAATCAGGATGAAAAAAATCTTAAAAAACCAGACAAAAAATAAAATCAATACATAAATAAATTAACAAAAATATTTATTTATTTATTTTAAGTAAATAATTGATTCATAATATATATATATATATATATATATGCATAGAATTCTGATCTATAATTTTTTGTAAACTTGTACGATCAACAATTGCTGCCTCTCTAAAATCTTATTTAAGAAAACCTTATTATATTTAAGAACAAAACCATAGATGAAAGAAAAAGAGTATAATATTATATGAAGAGTTTATCAACCTTCTTGCTCAAGAAAAGCAAGTCGCCGCATGCCAATGCCATAAGTAAATCAATGACGGTTGTAGAAAAAGAGAGCTTTGGTGAAGAGATTAGCAACGTTATTTACAGATTCAATTTTCTTGATCTTAAGTAATTGATTAGTAATCAAATCATGGATATAACTAAAATACTTTGGATCAATATGCTTTATCTTATCTCCTTTAATAAAACCACTTTGCATCTGTGCAACATAAGTGCTATTATCTTCATACAAGATAGTTGGAGAATCATCATATAAAAATCCATAGGTTGTCTGAATGAGTTTATTGATTGATTGCAACCAAATACATTCCTAAGATGCTTTATGCAAGGTAATAATTTCTACATAGTTAGATGAAGTTATAATTATAACTTGTTTCATTGATTTCTATAATATTGCAGCTCTATGTTTTAAGAATACATAGCCTATTTGAGATTTAGCTGTTGCAATATTAGATTTATATCTTGTATTAGAATATCCAACTAATTTTGGATATGCAAATCATATGTAATATAATCCCAAATCTTCAGTACCTTTTAAATAGTATAGTAAATATTTGATGCCATTCCAATGTCATAGTATTGGATGTGCATTGTGTCTTGCAAGAACACTAACTATAAATGTAATATCTAGTCTCATAGATGTAGCTAAATATAAAAGTGCTCCAATCACTGCGAGGTATGGATATTGCTCTCATAAAATTTCTTCTTCTTCCTTACACGGATGGTATGGATCATGATCATCACGAGTAGGTCCAACCATTGGTATGGACAATAGATAAGCATCAACCATATTGAATCTTTGTAAGATTTGTCTAATATATGGTAATTGGTAGAAAAAAATTCTACCATCTGTGAGATGCATAATCTGAAGACTAATGCAAAAAGTTATTTTTTCTAACATTTTCATCTAAAATTCATGTAAAAGTAGGTTAGTAGCTGCAATACATGCAAATCTAGTATCCACTACATTAAGATCATCAATATACACATTGATGATCACAAAATCAGTTTTATCTTGTTTAATAAATAAATAAGGGATTAGTAGATCACTTACAAACTTATTTATAATTAAATAATCTTAGAGATATTGATATTACATGTGTCCAAATTCTTTTAGACCATACAAGGCCTTGTATAATTTAATACCATGATATTGTCTTGAAGTAGGTGCATTTGGAGTTCCTGTTTTCAAACTAGGTGGAACTTTCATATAAATATTTGTATTAAATGAATCATACAAATATACACTTACCACATCTATGAGACGTATCTCAAAGGTGGCATGAATTGCCATTCTAATAATATATCGGAATGTAATTGAATCCATGACTAAAAAATTTGTGGATTCATAATCAATACCAAATCATTGGATAAATCCTTGAGCAACAAGACAAGCTTTATAGCAGATTATTTGATCCTTAGTATCTCGCTTGTGTACTAATACCATCTTATATCCCACAGGGCAAGAAGTAAGAGTGTTCAAAATTGGACCAAAGACTTTTTTCTTATGCAAAGAAGCATATTCTTCTTTGATGGTACTTTTTCATTTTAACCAATCAAAGCAATGCATCACTTCCTAAATGGTTTGAGATTCAAAATCTTCTTTCTCGTAAGAAAGAGCTTCTGCCATCATAAATACAAATGATTCATCTATTATAATAGATGGTCTATTCCAAAGGTCATTTGTAGCACAATATAGAATAGATAATTTTGTACTCAACTTTATTTTATTCCTCCTAATTTTAAGATTTTCTATAGCCTAAAGTGAAGGTATAATATGCATGGACATATTGCCATTAATTGATGGTCCCATAGTTTAGTAGGAACTTCTACAAAAATAATACCAAAATCACCACATGTTATAGCTTTCTTCTTTTGTGGTTGCTTATTTGATCTATGAGTCCTTTTAATTGCTAATATTTTAACTTGAAGTATATTTGTTAATGGTATTGTAATTTGAGTGGATTCATTTTGAGCCTCATTAATTGGAACTCTTATAATCTGAGGCATATCATTGAAGCCATCAAGTATTTTATTTGCAATCCATTTTAGATACAAAATCTTGGCAACTTCACTTTCAGCTAAAGATGTTCTAAGATCAAGATTCATTGTAAATGTTTTTGGTACTCCAAATACAAGTAGTGTATTTCTTTGTTGATTAAATATTCTTCTTTGAAGAGATGGAAATGTATTCTCTTCAAAACAACAATTTTAGAAACATGCATGTAATAATGTGCTAGTTGATAGATCAATTATATGAATAATACTTAATGAATCAAAACCAATATATATGCCTTCTCGTTGATAAGCTCTAATTGTATGCCATTGAGGTTTTGGTATTGGAATCCAAGTACAATAATCAAACATCCATAAAAGAGATATATTTAGAATACGACTTAAAATGAGCTCTTGTGGTATAATAATTTCAAGAAAGAAGAGAGAGACATATTAATGCTGCAGCATGCAAAACTGCATGACTCCACATAGATGCAAGTAAATTTGCATGAAGAAGGAGTGGCCAAGTAATGAGTTTTATATACTTTATAAATAACTTTGTAAGTCCATTTTGAGCATGTTCATATAGAACACAATATGCCAATTCAATCCTTGTTGTAGTACAATAGTCTTCAAAGGACTTTGATGGAAATTCTTTTGCATTATCCATATACAATGTTTTGATAGGATAATCAAGAAAATGTGCTAAAAAATAAATAAGCATAGATATAAGATTAGCAAATATCATATTTTTGAGATGATAATAATGAAACATGTGATTGTTTGCTTGATGCATTAACAAAGACCAAAAAATAACGAAATGGTTCAGATATTGGATTAATAGGACTACAAATATTACCATGCAATCTTTCTAGCATTGGTGGTAATTCTTATGGAAGTTTCCAAATTAAAGACTGAGCGATCATCTTATCTTGCACACATGTATGATGTAATTTTATAGAATCTATATTTTTAGGTCTTAAATTATATCCAATTATACATAGAATTATCTTTCAAAATAATATAGATCCTACATGTTCCAATCATCCATGCTAAAGAGAAACATGACTCTCTATAATAAATGATGCAAAATTAAATATAATAGGAGGCCAGATTACAATCCAATATAAACCATTTATCACAACAAAGGCTTTTTCTATAACTTTATGGTTCTATTTAAGAACCAAAACCTCCTGCCTATCTAGAATTATAGTTGAGAGGTGATAACCATTGGCATGCATATCTCGATAGCTGATGAGACTCCAAAGTATTGAGAGTGCAAACATTACATGTTCATATTTTATGATAGAGCCCGTAGGCAGTTTTACCATTATTGATCCTTCTTAGAAATAAAACGTATTTATTCCAGCCATAGTCATTAAATTTTTAGTTTGCTAAGTTGAAGATTTTTTAATAAAAAATTGTTTATCCCTCAAGATAGTATGTGTTATTGTAAAATCAATGAATACATTATTTGATTCATCATTAGAGGTTTTGTCATTCACATAAGCCTCTAAATCATCAATACTAATTGAATCCATAGATGCATCTATGGTATGAGCTTCATGAGCCTCAACTCAAAGTTTCTTATTTTTTTGGAACATTTTAACAAAGTGTTTTGAAGTATAGTATGCATGTGCCAAATGTCCAATCA